ATTTAATTACTGCGGCCAATTATATCTGGCACGTGGAGGATTTTCTTTTTTTTTTTTTTTTTTTACTGCTTCTCCTCCTTCGTCTCATTCGTGTGTTTTTTGTTTCTTTGTTCATTTGGCTTCGCGTTTATCAGAATCGGTGTTGTATCACAGGCTTTCATAAGCAACTTTCCAGATTATACGATTATTTTTCTCGCTTTATTAGCATATAAACCCTTTAAATAATCAGTGATTTGAACTCCCTATTATACGAAAAAAAAAATACAGACAGACATTTAAAACAAACACGAGAAAAATGCTGAGTTAAAGCGCCTCTTCCTTCCCTCTTGCCCCTTGAGGAATCGCCAGCGCCCCACACCTGACTGAGGAGGGGGGGGGGGGGGGGGGAAGGGGAGGGGGGAGAGGGAGAGGTGGGGGAGGGGGAGAGGGAGAAGGGGGTGGGGGAGGGGGAGAGAGAGCGGTGGGGAGAAGGAGAGAGGGGAGTGGAGGGGAGAGGCAGGGGGAGAGAGAGAGGAGGGGAGGGGTGGAGGAGAGGAGGGAGAGAAGGAAGAGGAGGGGAGGGGGAGAAGGGAGAGGGATGGGAGAAGGGAGTGGAGGGGAGGGGAGAAGGGAGAGGAGGGGAGGGGGAGAAGGGAGAGGCTGGGGGAGGAGGAGGGAGAAGGGGAGAAAGGAGAGGGGTGGGGGAGGAGCGAGAAGGGAGAGGAGGGGAGGAGGAGGGAGAGGGAGGGAGAAGGAGTGGATGGGGGAAGGAGAGGAGTGGGGAAGGGGAAGGGGGCGAAGGGTGGGGGAGGAGAAGGAGAGGGGGGGGGAGAAGGGAGAGGCTGGGGAGAGAGGAAGAAGAGGGAGGGGGAAGGGAGAGGCTGGGGAGAGGAGGGAGAAGGGGGGGAGAAAGGAGAGGGGGTGGTGGGGAGGGGAGAGGAGGGAGGGAGAAGGGGAGGGGGGTGGGGGAGAAGGGAGAGTAGGGGGGGGGAGGTGAGAGTAACAATGTTTACGCTGAATTAAATGCGAGGCGGTTATCAGGCGCCGGCCATATTTCTTCTGCCTTCTCTTTCTTCTTCGCTTCTTCTCCTTCAGCTTTTTTTCCCTCTTGTTCTCATTCGCTCTTTTCTCTTCTCAGCTTCTTCTTCCTCTCATTTCTTTGTTTTCTTTATCTTCTATTTCTTTTTTATCCTTTTCTTCTGGTTTTGTTTATCTTATTCTTCTCTCTCTAATTCATCTTCTTCATCTTCCTTTTCTTCTCCTCTTCTTCATTATCATTCTTTCTTTTACCTCTCCTCTTTCTTCTACCTTTCTCCTTCTTGGTCTCTTTCTTCTTTCTCTTTTCTGCATTTCCTGTATTCCTCTTCTCCTTTTTCTTCCTCCTCTTCTTCTTTAATTCTTATTTTTATTTTATTTTTGTTTTCTTCTTTTTCATTCCTCCTCCTCCTTTCCTTTCGCCCTTTACCCCTTTCTCCTTCCTCTCCATCTTTTCTTTTTTCTTTTTCTTCCTCTTCTCCTCCTTCTTTCACCACACCGTCTCCTCCTCTTCTTCCCTTCCCCTTCCCCTGCCCACCATACCCTCATTCTCCTCCTCCTTTTCTTGTTTTTTTTTTTCTTCTCTCCTCCTCTCCTTTCTTCACCCTTCTTCCCCTCCTCCTCCTCTTCTATTTTTCTTCTTTTTTCTTTCTTGTTTTCATTATTATTATTATCAATTCTATTTCATCACCATTGTTATCATTATCATTATCATTATCATCATTATCATCATATCATCATCATTATCATCACATTGTTATTACTTATATGTTATACTATACTACAACTATTACTAATTCATTAAAAATTATTTTCATCATCATCAAACCACCTTATCACATCTTTATCATCATCCTTAATTGATTATAAATTGCTTCCTACTACAATTTATTCCCCTTATTACCATTATCCTCCCTTTATCACTATTATTATTCCTCCTCTCCCTCTTCTTCTTCTTCTTCTGACACTCAGTATAAGGCTTGGTCCACAAAAGGGAGACAGATATTTGTCCTGGATAAACAAAAACAGAACTTGGATAAATAGATTCTTGTTATTGCTAAGAGATTCAGTTTCTCTCTCTGTCTGTCTGTCTCTGTTTGTCTGTTTGCCTCTCTCTCTCTCTCTCTTTATATATATATATAATATATATATATATATATATATTATTATATATATATATATATTACTTATAGTATGTATGTATATATATAGTATAATATATATTATATATATATATATATATATATATATATATATATATATAATATATATATATATATTATATATATAATATATATATATATATATATATATATATATATATATATATATATATACATACACACATAACACACACACACACACACACACACCACACACACACACACACACACACACACCACACACACACACACACACACCATAATTATTATATTATATATATAATATATATAATATATTGTATATATATATATATATATATATA